TGCGGGCCCGATCTGTTAACTTTCTGTCAATCTCCCATCACACGACTTCTGAGGAAAGCAGCAGAGGCTGTTCAGCTTCTTAGGGGTCCTCGGCCTCAGTCCCAAGCCTATATTTTTCAGTCTCTATAACTCTATTTGACCATGGAAATTGGGGGCCCACAAACGCCACTTGGAGAGGTCTTTACCTCATGCCACCAGAGTTAGACCGTCCACAGAGATGCCAAATAGAGATTTTGCCAATACTTACACTTCCCAAGGATATTAACTTTAAATAAGTGACAGGTACAATCCTTTGGCTTTATGTATCCTGAGCTTTTTCCAGCTACCAGGCCACTCCAGTGCTCAGAAGATGAAATAATTAGTAGACTTTTAAAATATTTCTTTGTTTCTCATGCGACCATTGTTGACCAAGTCAAAGGGATGTGCCAACAATAGCATCATCTGTGTCATGCTTGTTACTAATATGATTACCAATTAATCCCGACATGGGAACTTGGCGGGTTACCCAAAACCTGGTATTTTAGTACCTCAGGGAGCCGGCACTTGGACATTTCCATGACATTTTATACTAATCAATCAACTTTCCTTTTTTAGAGCTGAACCTTTCATAGAAACTGCAGATGAGTCTTACATGCACCGCACCCGAGGCCACCATTTCCCCAAACAGAACCGTGTTTGGTTTGTTGATAATTACACTTTGAAGCTGACTTTTGAAAATGTTTATTCTTATTTCTTCCCTTCCAAGGGGGAAATCTATCTCAAATGTTAAGACAGAAACTCAAGTCCCCAAGAGTATTCTCCTATTATTGTATATTTTAAAATATTACAGGAAGGTGTTTCTCAAGGGAAGTGAACTTTATCGCTGCCAAAGACAGTTGATTTTCTCCCAATCTGTTACCAATGGGTCCCAAGCTGGTTTAAGTCGGTTCTATTCTGAGTAACGACACATGCGACCAGGACAAACGCCATTCTAAGATTTTTCTAGGACCCACTGGCAAAGAGTAATTTATCTGGAGACAGCCAGGCAGGTGAAGGAAGGACAGGTCGGGTGAATGGGAGTCTCCGGGGGGCACTGTGCCAAAGCAGGCATCTGGACTCGGTGCCAGGGACCGCACTCCCGGGGGCCGGGGCCTGCCTCTTGTCACCTGCTCATCCCCGATCGGTCCTCTGGCCTCCAGTGATTCTTTCCGCCATTCTTCACCTAAGTTATCCTAAAGAGATCACGAAGCTGCAGCAAGTTGTGCTGGCCAACTTTCAGTCCTTCCTCGAACATACCCTGTCGCCTAGAACGATGGCAGGAAGCAATCCAGCTCAGACATGAGCTTTGTGTTGTCCCATCATTTGCATTCCCATGTTCAGGAAGAAGTGGGCAGCCTCTTCTTCCTCATCTTCCCCCCACCCTTTCAGCTTTATTGAGTTATAATTGACAAAAATTGTATCTATGTAAGGCATACAATGGGATGTTTTGATATATGTATACATTGTGAAAGGTTTACCAGAGTCAAGCTAATTAAGACATAGTTACCACTGAGGGTTGTGAGAATAGTTAAGACCTACTGTCTTAGCACATTCTAAGTATACAATATTTAATGTGCACCCAGACTTTATTCATCCTGCGTAACTGAAATGGTGTACCCTTTGCTCAACATCTCCCCATTTCCCCCACCCTAGCCCCTTGTAACCAGCATTCTACTCTGTAAATGAACTTTTTTAGATTCGACACGAACCTGGAAGACATTATGCTGAGCGAAGTAAGCTAGACATAGAGAGACAAATGCTGCATGACCTCCTTTTCTATGTTTTACTTTCTTTTCTCTGTTCATTCCTGATTCAAAGAAAGAGCTCGGGTTGTCTAAGGTCATGGAACAAGGCAAAAGTTCCTGACCTTGGAACAAGGCAAATGCACCCTGGCTTCGGAGCCAGAAATCCCGGCCCTGCCAGGGAACTGCTATGTGAGCTCAGGTAAGTCACTGGCCTTTCCCTGCCTCAGTTGCCTCACTGGTGAAAGGGAAGGATGTCCATCACACCTGACTCAGGCTGCTGTAAGAAGGGCACAAGGCAGGTGAAATTTTTAAAAATAATGAAATACACGATACACCTGTTGGTACGAACTCACAACAGTTTTCCCTGGCATAATACCCCACCCCAGGAGAGGGCCACCACCGCCATCTGCTTCCTGATGGGGAATCGGGCATCGCATGTGACATCGGTAAAGCGCCATCCTGGAGCGCTCACTCTGCCCCAAGCACCGCGGCAAGGCCTCGCTGAGCCCTCCCAACCCCAGCAGTCGAGGGTTTCACAGACGAGGGAGCTGAGGCTTGGGGAGGCCCTGATTCCTGTGGAGAAGAGGGCCTTTGCTGCCAAGCCCCTGCCTGTGACCCTGCCTCTGCCCCTGCCTCACATGTGCAAAAATCAGGAGTCACCTCTGGGGGCAGGTTAAGGTTTTGTGGACCCGGAAGGGCTCCGTGCAAGGGAAATGCTGTTTAGCTGCGAGAGATGTGGACTCCGTGTGAGTGTCCCTGGGGAGACAAGGGTGGCTGTCACCTCGCTGCTCGGGAGTCCCACGCCTCCTTTCCCCTCTGCTGAGAATGTGAATGGCAGACTTGCCATAAACACCATGCTTTCATTTTATTTTGCCCCTCGGTTGATGAGGCCCAGTTCCCATCGCTAATACAGGAGAAGGAAAGCCTCTGTTTCTTGGGAATAGAGCTCATGTGTCCTCTGACGTTGCCAGGGCAACCCCACAGCATACCAAGTCCTCCGTGCAGGGAGGGGTGACTGGGCAGATCCGTGTTGGAGGCAAAATATCGTGTGACCAAGCCATGCACAGTGTCATGGGAAGCAGAAGTCAGGCACTGGGTGGGGGGTTGGGGGGGTAGAGAGGGGAAAGAACACCTCCTTTATGGCTGACAGGCTCCTCTCCTACTCTGGGGGGGAACTCTTAATTCCGTGGCTGTCCAATAATAACTATTCTTCTGCAACGGCATCTACCGACTTAGTCTGACCTTCCAAAAATGTTGACGAGCTGTATCTTGCCTACTAGTTGTGAGTCCGCTGACAACAGAATTTTTATTGAATGCCCATCTTCACGAAGTTCCCAAAACACAAAAGGAGCTTAATAAACAGGCTGAACGCGGCCTCTGACTACGATCAGGCTCTGGGCAGCGAAAAGACCCAGGCTGGGCTGCATCAGGTGCACCTCTCCTGCCGGTCGGGAGCGCCTCTGGCCGACTGTTAGTGCCTTAGGGCGACAGGGTCCTATCCCTCGCCTGCCCACTTGTCTTGGCTGATGCTGGGATCTGAGTGGACCCAACAAGAACAGAAGGCGGAGCTTGGAGGACGCAGCACGCTGAGCTTCGGCCAGAGCTGAAGAAAAGAGACTCAGCCTTTGAAAAGCTGTGTCTGGTTCTAGACCGACCTCCAACTGGCTGGGGGACTTTGTGTGGGTAAGTCACTCCCTCGCCCTAAACCTCAAGTTCCCCCTACAGGATGCCACGGTACCCCCGCCCCCAACCACCAAGTTTCCTCCCGGTCTGGCACTTTCTGCACAATGCCTCAGAGATGGACGTGCTCGAGAACTGCTTTAAAAGTAGGAAGAACCTCTGACTGACTTGAGGCTGTGTGGCTGAGGGTTTGTATCAGGGTGTGGAGGCCCAGGAGGACGGAGGACAGAGTCCAAAGCTCAGACAAGGGGCAAGGAAGGTATCCAAGAAGAAGAGGGGCAATGCAGGAGCGAGAAGGTTATCAAGCGAATCAGAAGTAAAAAAATCGGCCCCAACACGTCTTAGCAGGGGCGCAAAATGAGAGTGGGTCAAGATGGCAACGGGCAAAAGAAGGCTCTGGTACGCATTCCGGTAGGACTGATGCTTAGCAGGGGATGAGGGGAGAGGAGGGATGATATATTCCAGTGACAAGTGCAAAGTAGGACAAGTGTGAAGACACGGTGCTTGGCAAATGTCCCGTTCCGCAGCACAGCAGGAGGCAGAAGTCACCATGTCGTCACCGCTACCCCACAGTGCAGGGGAAAAGAACGCGAGGCCCCCAAGTCCCCCACACTGGTTCTGTGACTTACCAGCTCTGCTGGCTCGAGCGCAAGTGTTACCTTGCTTGAGGCCCCATGTCCTCAAATGAGAAAAAAAGGCTGAGAGCACTATCAGACAGCATCTCTCCCGCAGCCGCCAGGGGGCAACATCTAAAGAGGCCAAGTGCGCGAAAATACTTGGTGACCATATAAGCACGTAACATCTTGCCAAACAGCTGAATACTCATTACTATGGAACAGTCCATAAAAAGGCAGGATAAACACCCTGCTTTGATGAAAGTCAAGAAGCCACTGTTAGTATCGGGTGGTCCTGCCCTTAGAGATCTGGATTAACCCCAAAGAAGCCTCTGAGCCACGCTCCCTGGACACAAGGGGTTCACACAAGGGGTTTGCAGGGCAGCTCCTCACAGCTCCTCTCACTGTGGAAGAGCCTTTTCTTCTGCTTCCTGAACAACAAGCTCCTACGGGACTCCAGGTTGGAGCTAAGACTTCATTAGTAACACTGTCTCTGGTTTACCTAGAGATACAGCTAAATCATTCTGTTTAAGTGGCAGAGATGGGGACAAAACCAAAAGCTCCTTTCTTTTCAAGATACTGCTGCTTTGTTGAAAACACAGAATAAGCATAATAAATAAAAAAAAAAAAATCCAATCTAGCTTGACGACAAACCTTAAGGATCTATGTGCCCAGCAGCCCACCCTCTTATTACAAGTGAAGTCACCAGGGGCAGAAAGACAATGCAGGGGACTCAGCCAAAGCCACACCCCTAGTAAATGGCCAACGGTTCCAAGGTCCACCTTTCTCTGCACTCTAGGTCACTTCCCAATCTTCATTCATCATGGTTAAAGTGCACCTTTAAGATTCAAACCTGGGCATCATTCGCCATCTGTCTCTAAAGAAAATGAGCCTGTGTCCGGCCGCAGTGAGCTCTGACAGGGAGTTCAGCCCCTGCTCTTACCTGCAAGTTCGCACAAGGTGGTAAAACGTGAGTGGGGATTTCATTCTCGGACCCTGCTGGCCCCAGGGGTTGGTTCTTGACCCGGAAGGCTGCGGTGGTGGTGGCAGTGGTGGTCTGAACGGGGAGGGCTGGCTGCCACACACTGACATCGGAGCCATTGCCAAAAGCTTGAATCGCATTTTCTGTAGTAAAACAGGAGGAAGTCCAATGTCAAAGTCAAGCAGCCAATGTGCCAGACAAGCTACATAAAGCCGGAGGCGCACACTAGAAACTCTGAATGCAGCACTGGACTTTTCTGACCAAAACCCATCCAACTGTATACCCTCCGTGTGCTGAGAGCCAGCCACTGGGTCAGATGTTCAAAAATCAATTCATTCATTAAACACTGAGCTGGACACTTAGATGCTCCAACTGCAGCCCATATTTAATGTGTTCCTTTTTCTGCGCCAAGTCCTTGCCTTGAAATACTCATCAGTTGAGCCCTTTGAAATCCAGCCTTGGACCTGTTATTTGGGGTCACAACCACTGTGCCATCTTCCAGGAAAACTTTTGTGCTCTCTCAAAATTTGATACTAAAAGCAAACTCACTGATTTTTTTTTTTTTTTAAAAAAAGAAAAGCATAACATCCCTAATTATGAGACTGATGTGACTCAGTGGCAGTCACATTAATTTGTCAGGCAGTAAAATCAAACAGCAAAATCTGTGATTCAGGAGGACAGAACAGCTACTCGGAGGCAGGCATTGCTCAAGTTCCAGTGCAACTCATTTCTTTAAAGGAAGGATCTACCCGGAAGCTCAGCAATAGTCTAGTAGAAATTTAAGTAAGATTATTTTATCCCTTTCTGCTCCCAGTCTTCTAAACAAAATCTGCATAATTAGGTAAAAGCAGCCCTGCTTATATGAAAAGTTTAAAATGGAAAACTTTAAAAGCTTATTGCAAGTTCATGGGATTAGATTGTTTGTATGGCAAGAGTAAATTGGTTGTGGCGTTCCCCTCCCCCAAGTACATAAAAAACAGTTTAATCAGGTCTTCAGGGATTTGGCCTGGATTTAGCAATTTCTTTATTTCATATTCATTGTATAAGAAATCAAACTCCTCCATTTGGGACCTGAATGTGCAAATTGTTAATATATGACTCTTAGCTGGCATTTTTCGATATACAAGGCAGAATAATTTCAGCCTAATGTTCCTCTTAAAAATGACATTTTATTCTAAAATTATTATCCTTTAAGTTCAGAAAATTGGGAACTTGTTTTCTAACAAGTTTACATTTTTAAGGCTGTAAGAAACAGCTTCAAATTAGTACACATGCTTTTTATGCTTTTAGCCCTATAACGTGACCCAACGGGTGGGTGAGACAAAGAGAAAGGTATATAGGGGACTGGATTCCTTGAATGACCCAGAGCAATGGCAATAAAAGAACAGCACAACTTTCCTTTTTTCTTCTTACGATGTGTAGATTCAAGAGACTGCTCTGCCATTCATTGAAACTACCTGTGCTTTTCAACGTGTTTGCAATGGCAGGTGGGGAGGCTGTTCAATTGCTTATTCATTCATAAAAATGTCAGTGGAACTTCTACTACATTCCAGGCACTTCTCTGTACTGGGGAGGCAGCAAAGAACAGTGACAACAATGAAAGACAAAAGCCCCTGGCCTCAGGGAGGTCACATTATGCTTAGGAGAAGATAAGTAAAATATATAATATATTAGATGGTGAGAAATGCTTGGAGAAAGTGGAAGCAGGTAGGGTACAGGGAGCCCAGGGGGAAAATAGGGAGCCGCAGTTTAGATGAAGTGGGGAGAGAAGGGAAGGTGGCATATAAGGGAAGACTTGAGAGGCAGTAAGAGTCACCTCTACCTTCAGCTCATTTTTCCTTCTCTCTTCCCCTAACAGCTGTCCTACACTTTGGAGTAAAAATGAGTTTCTCCCCACCCGCCACCCCAATAACAATAAGTAAACAATAGGTTGGAGTGGTGTTTGGGATAGGGGAGTCGGGTCTAAAGTAGGGTTGACTAATTTGAGGAGAAAAGAATTGGATTATTGCACTTGGGTGGGAGTGTACAAATTCCAATTCCTTCTACTCTAGGGCCTTTGCCAGAGACTGAATCTACAGCACTGTGTTTTTGGTAGGCTGTGCCCCTTCTAAACAAAGTATAAATGTAATGACTAAAAAATTCTGGCTGACTTTGGTCCTTGTTGAAGACCAAATGCATTTATTTCTATTGGAAAGTCATTAGCAATAAGATACCAGACTATTCTCCCTTTCACGAAAATATTATTAAGCAGGGACAACTTTAGTTTCTCTGTGAGAGAGCAGTTTTTCAGCCAGCGTGAACGTCTTTTCTCACGCTGACCTCTATTGTCATTGCTTTATCTTCATTAAATCTCGTATTCTGCCAGGAGAGCATGCAGGATGTGAAAAAGAGGATATAGAATATATACCCTTTTTTTAAAAAAAGTCAAGACCAAACAAGAGGCCCATAGTATGCTCAATGTCTTGGCAAATGACGCCATACTTGAGACTAGTTTTGTGGGTTAGAATTTCATTTAAGTGTCCAAAAGCTTTAGTTTTAACGATTTGGTTACAGCCACTTGATTCAAGTACCTAGAGAGCAAGTCATTTAGATTTGTCTTTTCAACAAAGGACACAAGGAGTAGGTTTTAGAAAAGCTTTTCCAATGTGCACATGGCAAGTTGTTAGATAATTCTTTAGAAATCAGCCACCGTACAGCAGTGCCTCATGGAGAAAACTGTCACCTGACATCTGGCCTCTCAGAGAGGTGGCTGAACCCTGATTCCTAGAAACTTGGTCCACACCTGCCACTCGGAAGTAATACGTGGTCCCTCATGTTCAGGTGTATGTTCTTGTTCAAGGGGCCCTTCCACAGCGGGCATGACCAAAAGTCCTCAGGGGACAGGGCGCTGTGGAAGAAGGAACTCAGGCAGTGGATCCTGTGTTTGGCATGGATGGTCTATGTGAAGACCAGCCATTCATTCAGCTGTGAAATGGAGATGTAATACCTCCATCTCCCAGGATTCTTGTGCAGATTACAGAAAATGAGATAATGTATATCTCAGACTCCCTGGAGAGTGAACTGAAGGCACCCGCTACATTCACAGTGGCTGCCACAAAATGTGCGCGAGGTCCCCAGGCATCTCAGCTGACCTGCCACCTGTAGCGCGCACACCTCCGTGGATGGAAGGGAGACCCGGCATAGTGCTTCTGAAGTTCATCTGAAGAAAGTTCACACCCGCACCTTTTTTCTCCATCTCTCCCGCTTTGGGAAACATGCTTCCCACTTGCCTAAAGGATAGTGCAATGATAACTGGGCCTATATCCAAGGAGGAGCCCCCTTCCCTCATAGGGCCCCTCTCCGCCTCCGGAGATAACCAGCCATCCTGAGAGGCTCCTGGATGCACGGCCAGCTTCTCCCACCTGAGAATGGTTGCTTCTCCTCTGAGCCAACCCAGACATCATGGGGGCTACGGATGTTAACTTCTGATTTTTCTTGGAGAGCCTTTAGAGGCCTACCCCCACCTAACTTGTCTGAGCATCTCACATTGTATATTGCACATTTGGAAGAGACTTGATGCTGGTTGCCAAGATCAAAATTTGGTTCACAGGCCAGTTCTCCACCCACTGGGCCACACCAGCCAGGGCTTCCAAGATCAAAATTTTATCAGTGGGTACAAGTGTTCCTTCCCACAAAACAGACCCTCCGTTATTGAACTCTCTCACTCCCCTGAGCTTTTCTGGGTCTCGGTCTTGGCAACACCCCGCTTATCACTTGCTGTGTCCCCTGCTGCATGACACAGCGGGGTCAAAAGATGCTGAACACACTGTGAATGGGGGGCGGGGTGGTGCGGGGGTGGTGGGGAGAGAAGGCAGACTCGAGAAAGAAGAAACACAAGAAACACAGAAGCAGGGCTTGAGCTCGGAGAGGAAAACGTGTTTGTTTCCTATTTTGTAAAAAACTTACTAAGACACGTATTGTCCTTGAAGAAATTGAGAAACTTCGAGCACTCCTCCAGGTCATTCCCACTGTTGCTACAATCACACCAGGGGGCCACGCTGAGGCTGCTGGAGTCGATATAGTTGGGGGTCATGACTGTGCCTAAAAGAGGAAAAAGAAGGTGTTTTGTTCTTGTGTGATGATATGGACTCTTCTACAGCTTGAAAAGAAACAAATGTTCCTTTGATGGTGGATGCACCGTAGATAATTACAAGCATTGTGTTTGCTGAGTGGGAAATTATGTTAAGCAGTGCATTTTCTTGGCCATTTATCTTGAGCACATAAAATAATTTACACATTTACTTAAAAAATTATAACAGAACTCCTTGAGCTGCACTTAGGGTATTTTTTTTTCCCCTGCACAAATGGTATGCACGTCATGGAGTAGGAGAGAATTAACTTTGAATGCATGAGTTGCCAAATCCCTTGCATTTTCGTGCAAATGTCATTAATCTTCATAAATAGATAGAACTGGTTTTACATATCTTAAAAATCCTTTTAGGACTTGGAATCGGCTTCCCTCAGAAGCAAATGGCTTCTTTGGAGAAAACAAGGGAAGCTTCAAAGCTCTCCTTATGGGTCGCCCCACACCCCGAATGGATATAATGAAGTCTCTGCTCACCAGACTCCAATTGATTTAAATAAAGTCTTCTAAGTCGTGAAGGAATTGGAAGCAAACACTGGAAATTCCATAAGCCGACGGCTCCTAGAGCATTGTCTCTATAGTCCTCAAAAGTCCTCAAAGAAACACTGGGTGGTCCCTCCTGCCTACATCTCCCCTTGTTTCTGGTTTTTATGATGAGTTCTGTGCTGGCACAAACAAACAAGGCATTTATACTTAATGCAACCCAAATGTCTTCCCTGGGTGGCTCACACCAGGCAATGCCTACTCATGCCAAGGAGCCTTCTGTGTTGATATATTTTGTGGAAGTAAGAAGTAATGAGTGGTCAGTGAGCCACAGGATACATTGGATTCACAAACAGAAAACAATTCCTTTGTAAGCTCTTCTGGGTCAAGGGTGCACCTTCTTTGCCTTACATTCCTTACTGACTTGAACTCAATTATATGCCATCATACCCTAACGTGAGAACTTGGACCCTAACAGAGAGGGAGCTCCAAGTCTGGGTGAAAAAGGAACTGAGCAAAAAGGTTAAAATGTATTCACTAAGCATACCTGGCAGCATCGTAAATCCCTAACACATGGAAGAGGAGGGGCAAGCTTTGCCCTCAAAGATGTTAGAACGCAATGACCAGTGTGGAGGGAGAGATCCAGACCCAGGCCCAACGGAGAAATGCATATTGGTCTGTAGAATGCATTACCTTGACCGCTTATTCCCCTAAATGATAAGGCTTTCATCATCCTGGTGATTGTTTGCCTTGGCCATTCAGGGTGGATTTAATGAGCACCTGTGCCGGGCAGGATAGGGACTAAGGTGTTAATAGCAATTACATCTGGGAGCGGACTTGCAGGTCCTTAATACTGTTTTCTTTGGGCTTCTCTGTGTGTTTTTGTTAACGTTTTTACAATAAGCATGCCTTAATTACTTCTGTTATTTCTTAACCTGTAATTCCATAGTTGGTAAGTAATCCTTCCTCGGGACTAACTTGTTTAAGAAAGAGAAAGAGCAAATGCCAATTTGGAATACTGACTTAAGGAAGATACACTCATGGGGCATATTGATAAAAATGGTCAGTAACAGCCCTGACTGATGTCACTCAGCTGGCTGGGCACCATCCCGCAAATTGAAAGGCCACCAGTTCAATTCCTGGTCAGGCTATATGCCTGGGTTGTGGGCTGGTCCCTGGTCAGGGTACGTGTGAGGCAACCGATCGATGTTTCTCTCCTTCTCTTTTTTTCCCTTCCCCTCTCTCTAAAAGTAAGTAAAATCTTAAAAAGAAAATGGTCAGCAACTGCTAAAAGGTATCACCCAACAGAGCATAGGTATCCTTTCAAAACAAAAGTGGGACGCGCATGCAGACACCTGTAGTATCCCTGCATGATGCACTGCCGTTGATTTTTGTGTGGCTCTTGCTGAAGACACTCTGGTGACCAAGAATTCAGTCGGTGCTGTCCCTTCTGGTGAGGAGTTCTTCCTGCCTGGAGCTCTGTGTGATCCCGGCAAGAACACACACTCTGGCTGAGCCAGTACGCTTCTGACCATCTCGCTTTCCCTCTCCCTCCACAGCCTCCACGATGCATTCATTCTCAATTATCAGTCCTGACATTTGTGCCCTGTCACTGAGGCTTCTGCAGTCCCTGGAACCTAGAGCACCCGCCTGTTCTCCTGCCTGCCACGCTTACCCACGGGCACAAATTTGCCTCAATTCTGGCTCTCTCCTGGCACCAGGACCTTGTTGAGTTGTACCACCCTCCGGAATGCTGAGGTGAACCAGGCTCTTCTAACGCCTCAGGTCTTGAAAAAAAGTGCTGTTTCTGCTCTGTCTGTTCTCAGGGAAACAATATGTAGGCTAAATCACCCCCTGCGCACCAGGAGCTGAGTTACCAAGAATGTTGACGGTGAGGAGGATCCCAGTAGTTTGGGGTTTTCTTTCCAAAAGGCCATTTCTGGGAAACAGCCTTTTTGATTTCCTTAGAATGAATGACTTCTAAGCTCCCTTTCTCCCAAGTTCCTTAATGCAGTGAACTTGCTTCGCCTCGCTCTCCTCTTCCCTTGCCAGGGTTGTCCATACTTTGGTTCCATGCGGTCAGTTCTCTGACCGGGATGCTTCATGCTGCTGTCTTTCTGCTCCTTCATGATCCCTGCTTCCTGCCTTTGCCTTTGTGCCTGTCCATTGGCCGCTATTCTCCCTTTTTTTTTTTTTTTTTTTTTTTTTTTACAGGCAAGTCCTAGAAGCCTAACATCTATATCCCAGCACAGAGGGTCACTGGGAGATTGCTACTTTCACAGGTAGTGACAGGCTACAGAGGCCACGAGTATTTGTAAACCAGATGTTTCTCCGGTCCTGCTTCTCCCTGATCTTACCAATAAGCCCCGAGTAGGCGAGGAGGCAGTCCGCATAGTTCTCCTTCAGACAGCTGCCGACAGCCCTGGACTCCGGCTGGCAGTTGGTAAAAAAATCAGCGAGGCGAGATCTGCAATAGGAAGAAAGCAGGGAGGATGCTTTAAAATATCCCGAGCCTCTAGGCAGACATAACGTTTCCTTATTCCTTGGTTGATATGCCTTTTTCCATCCCCCCAAATACAGAAAACGCAAAGTCTTAAAAACGTTAGCATCTTGTCTCACACAACCCCCAATCGTCCCCCGCCCCCAACCCTCTCCCACCTGTGCGTCTGCTTATTTGCAGAGAAGTCTTCAGGGCCTACGACTGGAGAAATCTAGATGCTTTGAAGTTTCTATCCAATATTTATTTCTGCCTCGACTTATTTGCATCTTTAGGAAATATGCTTCTCTACACACTCAATGGAGATCCACACTGGGAAAATATTTACTTTATACAGAAACATGTTCCTGGCATCAAAACAGGCTCCTGCAGCCCATCTGCTCCCGTAATTCCTACTGGCTTTAAAACTACATGTATCAGTCTTGTAAGCCATCTCTCGTCCACCAGCCCAGGGGTCAGTGGTTACTCTGGCCAAGTGACAGTGGGGAGGAGCTTGCCCTTCTGGAACTGAGGGGAAAGGCAAGGGGGCCCAGGGAACGCTCCCTTTGGCCGTGGCTTCACTGTCTCTGATGGGGTGCGGCGGGCTTGCGGCTGCAGGTGGTGCCAGGAGGGTCTGCTGATCAGAATGCGGCACCTGTCTGCAGCCTCGGGATTCCCCAGGCAGCCCTGGGTGCTAGTGAAGGTGAGGGGGGACCCAGAAGTGGACAGGGGCCGCCAGCACTCTGGTCTGGGCAGGGAGAGACCTCTGTGTGACCAGTGGCTGTTTTTCAATCTGAAGAGGATATTGTTGGAGGAATCCTGACTGGGAGCCGGGCCCCCTCTGAGGTCATCTCGGCAGACAGCAGCTCTGTTTCTGTGTGAAGAACACAATGGACTGCCAGAGAATTTAAATTCTCTGGCAATTATGGCAGACAATGAACGGTTGTCTCGGCTTGCTTCTCTTTCGCTCCTCCGAGTCGGCAGCCAACAAACCCAGTGCTATTTGTATTTCTTTCCAGCCAAGGAACTGTATTTACTTAGCATATTTTATGGTATAAACAAGCAGACAGAGCAAGGTAGGATGTGTGATGATCACAAAGGTTTGTAAAAGGCCTGTAGGAAGCACAGCTGTGTCCCTTCATCACAACTTTCAGTAGCAGGGGATTCAAAGGTCTGATGAAACCCTCCCAGCTCACAGCACATCGCAAAGGCTGTGCCGTGTTCATGCGAGATCGGTCTCTCCTTGAACCCTTGTAAACAAGACGTGTCTGAGCCTCCCTATCTGTGCTGATCTGGTCGCTCCGTATGCTGTGTGCCTGGTTCCATCGCTGTGAATCCCCGGGGCAGGTGCTGGAGCTGCTGGGCTTTCTCACACAGCACCTGACACTCCTCAGACAGGCCCTGTAGATGGCTTCCCAGGCAGGGCCATGTGCTGAAGCTAAGTGACTGGCAAAACCCTCCATCTTGGACTTGGGCACGCCCGCGTGCGCGCTCCTGGGTGTCTCCCCCAGTCTGAGCCCCACTGGTGTTTTCTGACTCTAATTGAACACACTGAAGCGCATAAAACCGGGCCGTTTTCTGTAGCCTGGTGAAAGGATTTATTTTTCAGAGGAAATCCCTAAAGGTGGCTCAGGCTTACTCAGCTGGCTCCAATGGCATCCAGCTTGGAATGAGTGTTAATTTCAGAAGTCTTTTCCTGGCCGTGAAAGTTAATGGTCTAGCGGCACTGGGCTTCTAACTCTGCAAAAGTTGACTACGGTTCAGGCCTTTCAGGCTCCGTCTCTGCACACAGCCCGATCAGCTCTCTGACCTGGCAGCCCTGTGCTCCCGGCCCGGACGAGAGGTTGCTCTGTCTACGTGTCTCCCTGTTTCTCCTGCTCTCTCGAGTAGACTATTAACTGAACAGCACTGTGATGCGGATTACTGTCTTTCAGCGCAAGGCTGCTGCCACCAGACTCATTTTGCTTAACAACCTCAGAATTGACTCACAATTGGACTCTGGAATGAAAGGCTAATTGAGTCAGTCTGCTGCAGAGAGCATAACCCTGATTGAGAGGATAAAACTACAGATACGGCTCCGAGCAGAACATCGGGCAGGCTGGTGTTTGAAAGATAGCACAGATCCTGGCCCGGACACAAGCCTGGCCAGTGGAGGGAACGAGGGCCTCCGAATAATTGGGAGCATGTGCGGCTTTGCTGAAACGCTGCCATCTCCACGGTGCCTTCCTATCTTGGACCCCACGTGCCATGACATTTCTGTTTGGAGACACGGTGGTCACTTTATAGAACCACATTTTATAGAGAGAAAAAAGTGGAGTAAGAAGTTCGCACAGTGGTGCAGTGGAGCCGGCTCATTACTGGCTGCCTGGTAAATTTTCAGGAATTGTATGAGTTGCTTAACACCATTGTGGTAGCTTGTAAGTGGCCTTGGTGGGAGTATTTACACTATGGTAATCAGCAAACACTACAAATCAGGGCTTTGTGTCGTTCTTGGGGAATAGTTTTTAAATATTAGCTAGCACAACCCTGTTTAGGAACCAGTATGATATGGTCAATCCCACTGATAAAGCATATGTCACGGCTTGGGAATCAGTTCCAGTCCTTCCTGGGCAGACATCCCCTCCCACCCCCAGTTACCGTTGGCTGAAATGAAACGACATAGCGCCAATTAACTTCCAGTCTTCAGTACCTGCCAAAGAAAGGAAACAGACCTCCCCAAGAGATGCTTATTTCCCAACATCTTCTCTTACCAACACAATCCTCTTAAATCTCTTAAAGCAACGGGTGCAACGGTTACATGTATTGACAAAGCAGCTAAATTCATGTCCATTCCATTGACTGAATGATGGATCAAGTGCTTGTGATCTAATGATGAAAAATTCCCTGTCCCTGAATCAAATAACTCACAGTCTAGAAGCTGAGAGAAACAAGTAGAAAGATTGTAATAACACTGTGTCTAGTTCCTGGTTAAAAAAAAAAAGTAATAAAGGGAAGCAATAAAAATAGCTAATTTAAATGAAGTATTTAGTATGTGCTAGATATGTCTTTACACGCTGAATATTTTTTTCCTGCCAAGTCTAACAAGGTAGGACCTATTTTACTCTCCTAATTTTATAGATAAGAAAACCACAGCCTAGCCTGCTGAGACTAGAGCAAAATAATGAGCTGTAAAAGCAGGATTTAAAACCACCCATTCTGATCCCCACAACTTAAGCTTTGAACATTGCATACCCGCAGAAGCTGGGTTCAGAGAGCCCAGGATGCTGGGAGTGAGATTGGAGGATGTGTAGCATCTGTCAGGTAAAGGTGAAGGAAGGTATTCCGGGCAGAAGGAAGAGGCACATGATTAAGTAACTATACTCCTAATAATCCCAGGGTGACAGCAGTGCAGTGTCTGTACGTGCCAGGCACTGATCTAAGGGCTTGACCTATAGTCACACATTTAACTCTCGCAACAGACTTTGTAAAAGATACTATGAGCTTCATTTCACAGATGAAGAAACTGAGGCAAAGAGAGGCTAAGTCAGTCCCTCCAGGTGGTAGCAGAGCTGTTTGGTAGAGCTGGAATGTGACCACAGTCAATCTGACTCCGGAGGTGGAGATCATTCTCAATCACCACGCTTAACACAGGCATCATCCAGAAAATGGAGCCATTCACTGGGGATGGCAGGGCCACAGGATGCAAATGCTGAGTGACGGAAGACGGCGTGGGCAAGATCGCACAGAGCCTTGAATGACCAACCCAAGAGTTTGGATATTACTTTACAATCAGGACCACTGAAGGATTTTAGACCGAGAAGTAACATGATCTGATTTGCTTATCAAGAAGACTCTTGGGTCTTTCAGTTGTTCAGCAAAGATTTGCTTCACTGTTCTAGCAATGATGGGGAGAGCAGGAAGCCGGCCAAAGATGGGAGAAATGGGAACTTAGGAGGCTGCAGCCAGCAGTGGGAACAATGGGAAGAATGTTCCCATTGTTCCAGAAGGAAGAATGGAGGCTGGAAGGGGAGGGAGAAAGGATGCACTGAGTGGTGGGCACTGCTCACAAAGAAGTCAAGACTGTAGGCAGGAGGGGGCAGAGTGAGGGCATGGACAGCTCGGCAGACCGTGGTGCCGTGGGGGCAGACACAGGGGTGAGAGGTCTGCAAGGACGATGGTGAAGTGGGGGAGAACCGGGCTGAGTTCACGGTACCGCAGGAGCCAAGTGTCTGGTAGGTCGTGAGATCCCAGATCTTCATCTGTCCGGTCACCAGCCATGGCCTGAGCGCCTGCTCTCCCCCGTGCCCAGCGTCCCAGGACAGCGCCTCCGCACACGTGCCCCTGCCCACCCTGGGTTAGGAATCACACTGTAACCTGTCTCGATGGCTTCTCCGCCCGGGCTGCAGTGATCCAAACAAGAAAGCTCACACATGCAGTGTGGGATTAACAAAGAAAAGTCACAACTGGGTTTCTTCTGGAGACGTGAAATCTCCATGACGACAGCAGTGATGAACATGATTGTTTTGCTCTGAGAAAATGAAAATGAAATGAATAGGCACTAATGGAAAAACCTATCTCCTCAGAAAGAGAAAATTTCCCACTCTTAAAGAGGAGCAAAATGCCGGCAAATGCCAAGTTGGCCTTAGGAAATCTGAAGAGAAAACAGTGGTTTATGGAGAAACTATCATATTAAAAGAAGCATGCTGCTAACTGGAAATAGAAAAATGATTATAATGATAAAATCTAGGAATGTCTTCTCAAACAGCAGATGGTCTTTTGACAGTGGGGGAAAAAATTATTTACCTATTTTTTTTCCTAACACTTTTAGGAAAATAGTGTTATGGTGAACAGGTTAAAAATCCTACTATAAATGCCCAGCGTAGCTCATCCTGGATTATCCTAATCCTTAAAATGTCTTTCTAGGACAAACCCCATACTTGGACACGAGCAGTGTGGTTGGTGGAATGGAGCCCTGGACTAAGACTTGTAAGATCTTGGATGAGGTCCTGACT